CCCCCGCCCCCGCCCGCCCGGAGGTGCCACAAGCGCGCCCGAGCCCCGCAGGGTGCAGGCGGAGGGTGGGCACCTGGGCGAGGCCGTGAGGAGGAAGCCATCGAAGAGGCTCCTGCAGAAGTCCTCCAGGGCAAACTCGTCGGCCAGCAGCGCCAAGTTCCCCATGAGCAGGTGCAGGAAGATGTCCCCAAACGCCAGGTCGCCAAAGGTCTCCACTGCAAACACAGGTGTCAGCCCGGCTCAGCCCGCCGCCCCCGCCCCTGGATGGGCCAACGGGGAGGCCGCGGAGCAGCAGCGCCCCCTGAGGACGGGGTGCCCGGTTTTCCTGCAGCCAGAACCGGGGCCCGCACCACGAGGAGGCAGGGGCGGCCAGCCGCCCCCACGGAGGCAGAGAAGCAGGGCTGTGGGGGTGAGGGTCGGGGTGGGGAGGGCACGGGAGCCTGCTGCCCGTGGTTCTGCCCCATGGCCAAGGGACTTTGGACTAAGTGGACTCGAGAAGAGGGAGAAACTGAACAGACTGGAACTAGAAAAGAAACAGGAAAGTGCCACGGCACCGCCCCCGAGTTCTACCAGACTGCGAGCTACGTGGTTCTAGAAGAAAGACAACAAAAGGAAAGATTTTCATTTTTTGAAGGCACGGACTCCAAAAACTACTTTAATCAAAAAAAAAATTAAAAAAACAACAACTAAAATAATCAGCAAAGGTAACTACCAACGTATCTCACTGATGACCAGAGACAGAGTGCACAGCAAACAAGGCCGACGACCCGGCTGGAGGGCAGCAGGTCACGGGGACGGGGGGACACACATGGGGACACAAGTGCCACAGCAGCCACTAGAGAAGTGCTGACAGGGAGCTGTGACCATGGCACTATCTGAGCCCCAGGCGCCACTGAATGCCACGGGGAGGCCCGGGCACCATCAGATGCAGCCGGGCTGTGCCCCCGCCACATGTGACCAGAGCCCCCGCTGACCTCACGGCCGGGGGCACTTTACAGGACACTCAGGCAAGGGCACGGTCGCCACCCCAGGGAACACTGCCAGCAAAGTCCCTAATGGGAAACAAATGCCCTGGTTCCAACCCTTCCCACAGAACCCTCCAGACAAAGAGAAACACGAAAGGCAGCAAGGGGGCACGAGGGTGGAGGGGAGACGCCAGTTGGAGCCCTGACTTGAACTAGCCACCCACATCAAATGTCACGTGACAACGAGAGATCCGTGGCCACCGTCGGGCCCTGGACCCAGATGTGACCACAGCACCATTCTTTTGTAGAGACACCTGTCAAGTCCTCCGTGGGTTTACGTCCAGACCGTCATCCGGGGGACGAGCGGCGCACACGGACCCCCATGCAGCAGGTGAGAGGCACTGGGCTTCACCACGCTGTGCTCTTTGCTTGTAACGTCATCAAAAACCCCCACGATAAAAAGCTAAAAAATAAACAGAAAGGAATTTTTAAAACTGACATCTGATCTTACTAGCACCCGATAATGACGGAAGAGGACAGCGTACCCATCCTGAGCACAAGGGAAGGTCTGAGTCCCAGCGCCCTGGGCAGCAGCGCGTGGCTGGGAGACACCGACACGGTGTCGGAGGCAGGGAAGGAGGAGCACTCCCTCACCGGATGCTCCCGACGCAGGCAGGACCCCCCCGCTCCCAGCTGACACCGTGAGACGCGAGAAAGCAACAAAGGTACCGAAAGGAACTGGAACGATGAGACAAACCCAAACGGCACCCTTGGAAGTCTCCAGGCTCCAGCCCCTGTGGCCCTGTGACACTTCTGCATGTGGACACGCTACCTCATGTGGAAAGAAGCCCTACGACAGGAGACGACACCGCATGACCCAGGTGGGCCCGACAGCATCACAGGGAGGCGGGAGGCAGGGGGCCAGACTCAGAGGGACGTGCGGGCGGGAGGAGCTGGAAGGGTGAACCGCGAGACAAAGTCAGGAGCCGGGATGCAGGCGGCTCCTAGAAGCTGGAGGAGACCAGGAGACAGATTCTCCCCAGAGCCTCCGGAAGGAGCCAGCCTCGCCCACACCTTGCCTGTAGCCCCGGGACACTCGCTTCACCCTTCCGGCCTCCAGAGCGAGAAGAAAATAAGTTCGTGCTGTTCACGTACATGGAAACTAGATACGAAGTAAGATGCACAAATAGCTTCCTTCCTAAAGAAAACACGGGAAACGTAACACGGGCACCACCCTCAGACGCGTCAGTGACCCAGAAACGCACTTGGCCGGGAACGTGCAGGATCCTTATGAAGCAGACTCAACACCCCAGACATGAGCCGAGCCAGCAGAGGCCCCTGGGTCTGGGCAAGCATGGGAAGGCCAGGTGCTCCCCAACACCCTTCTCCTTGCCTCCACCTGCAGCTTACTCTTGAAGGGGTCCACTCGGGCCCCACCACGAAGCAACCGGCCCCCTGGCCCCACACGGCCAGAGACCGGCGGGGGTGAGCTCTCTCAATCGTCTGAGGCCTTGAGGGGCTCCACCTCCCTCGCCAGTTAGGAGCAAATCATGGTAGCTTCTCCCCCACAGCCAAAAAGATGCTTTCACAAACGGTGACAATGGCGAAGGGTGTCCGTGAAACTACCAAGCTGAGAAACTACCAAACTACCCCTGCACCAAAACCACCTCCAGAAGACAAAGATGGAGAAGCGCGCCGAGCCAGCCCCTCAGAGCTGGGACAGGGCAGGAGCCCGGGGCCCGGCACGGGGCCTGCCCGCACTCACCCAGCCCCGGCAGCAGGCGCAGGAGTGCGTTCTTGTTCCTCTGCTTGGTGATGTGCAGCACGTAGTACAGCCCCACCTCGCAGGCCATGCGGTGCTCCTGCAGGAACCTGCGCCCGGCAAGGACAGGTCACCCCTGGGCGACGCCCTCCGCACAGCCTCCGTGGGGGGCTGGGGGGCGGGGGCGCGGCACGCCCACCCGTGCCCGTGGGGCCCATACTTGGTGAAACTCTCCGGGAGCGTGTTCGGGTACGTAACCGGGGCTTTCTCCTCGGCCGGCAGCTTCTGGTCCACGTTGAAGGTATGGTCGTCGACCACGAAGGACATGAGCATGGGCAGGAACCTGGTGATGAGCTCCACCTCCTACGCCAGAGAAGACCCAGGAGCGGTCGGGCACAGCCCCACCTTTGTCCTGCAGGGACCCCGCCCCTCGCCCGCCTCCCTGCATCTACCTTTTTCTACTTCAGCCTGAGGGCCTGTCCCTCCTTCCCACCTCCCGAGACCCCGCCCTGCTGATCTCCACAGACCCTGCCCCACAGACCCTCTGGAGGAAGCGGTGGAAACCATCCCACCCTCGTCCCGTTACCATCTTGGGCTCCTTGAAGACCTGGCTGTCGATCATGTCCCATGCCCCCTGGCCCAGCGCCAGCAGCCTGAGCAGCAGCAGGAGATCGGGACTGTCCTGTGGGAAAACGAAGGCCTCAGCACGTGCTCACCCAAGGCTCCCCTCCACTGAAATCGCTCGTTGCCTGGCAGGGTCCTTGTGCCACGGCCAAACGCCTCAGCTTCCCCCGCAGCCCCCACGGCACCCACCGCCCATCGGGAGTGCTGTCATTCGGCCGGCACGGGCCTGGCCACACACCCACCCAGAAGGCAGCGTGCAGCCAGCCGCCGCGCTCACCCTAGGCAGGGTCTCCTGGCCGACCAGCTCCTGCAGGTGCCTGACGGTGCTCAGCGACAGGGTGTTGATGGCAAAGGGGTCACACAGGATCATGGACAGGTCCCTGTGAGGATGAGCACACTGCGTCAACATGGCGCGGCCACGGGCGGGCTGCCCTGGCCGCTGTCCTGGGGGGAGGGCCCCTCCGCACAGAGCAAGCCCACCCACCCACCCGCCCACCCTGTGCTTCTTCGGCACAAAAACTTGATGTTCGGAACTTATCCTTAACTTGCTCAAAATACTGAAGGGCTTTAAAAGTTTTTTAAAAAATTAAGCCCCCGTTTTGGTTCTGAGGACCTGCCCCTGATGCCGTAAGCTCACGAGGGCCCCACAGAGATGGTCACAGAGAGAAAGAGCTGCAAAAGAGAGCTCGACAGAGCCGGTCCCGCCAGCACAGCGGCCCCGGGACGGCGCTGACCACCCACCCCGGTCGTAGTCAGGCCCCGGCTCACCGAAACTCTGATAGCCTCGGCCCCAGCAGCCAGGTCTCAGCCGTGTGCACGAGCGCCAAGGCAGCTCTAAACCACACTGGAAGCAACTGGAGACACAGCCTGCTCATCCGGACACCTGTGGACAGGACCCTGGGGGCTGGGGCACCGGCACAAGGCCGACCCTTACCCTAGGACTTGCTCCTGCCCCTTCTTCACGCCGTCAAGAAACCCCTGCAGCTCTCGGGCTCTCTTGCTGTCCACAAACCGCTCACGAATGCAGGCATCCAGGCACCAGGTAAACTGTGGGGAGGAAGCACAGCCGGGACACGGTCAGAGACCGCGGCCTCCAGACGGCTCCCGTGGTCACCGCTCAGCTGCAGCCACCACCCCGAGCCTCACGTCGGCAACAGGACCCACAGCCTCACGTGGTCCGGGCCGGTACAGCGAAAAGGCACACAGGCCTGAGGTCCCACATCCCCAGCAGGCCAGGTGGTGCTCGGAGCAGGCAGTATTTGTGCTCTGTTCTCAAGGGGGTCTCCCTGGCAGCCCCCACTGCGGGACCCTGATGCCGCACAGCCCCCCGGACCTAACGCTGTCTGGGGCTGCACAGCATCCGTGCGGGACACAACAGCGGCACAGAAAGCCCCATCCCTGGAGCACACAAGAGGCCCCTGAGGGCTCTGGAGCAGGGGAGGGACAGTGGCCCAGGAAAGACCAGAGAAGGCTACGGCAGGGGAATAAACAGCAGGCGAATACGGCAGACGCAGGGCCGGTGGCTCTGACTCAGGTGCCCCTAAGCCTGGGCGGCAGAGGGGGTGTGGGGGCTGGCACACGGCTTGTGGCCGGGTGGGTGGGTGGCCAGAGCCCTGAAGGGGAGGAGCCGGAGGGAAGGGGGCGGGGCGGTCGGGCGCCACCTTATGGCAGGGGTCCACGGAGCAGATGTCCCCGACGTCCAGCTCGTGCAGGGACATGAGCAGCTCGGCCCGCAGCGTGCAGTAGTGCACGTTCCGGGTCCGCAGGAAGAGGGTCCGCAGGAACTGCAGCACCATGTCGTACAGCTTCACGTTCTTCCCCACCATCTGCGTCAGCTTCTGCACCACCTGGGGGAGGAGACCCGCGCCTCGGGGTCACGACGGCCGCGGGGGCAGGACCGCCCCAGCCCGACTCTACTCCTTCCTGTGCGGGCCGTACCCAGAGTCTCCTCTGTCACAAGACGCCAGCTCTGTGTCAGGTGGTGGCCACCCTGGATCCCACAGACCCTGAGAGCCCATCGGCCTAGGACCCCAGCCTCCAGGGCTGCCCATCAGCTGGCACGGGACACTGGGGCACCGCTGAGAGACGCTGGCCACTGTAGCCCCGCCAGGGCTGCCTTGCTCCCTGCGTCCTCCCATGTCGAGCACCTGTACCCCTTCCGCGGCAGGGACCACCCGCCTCTGCAGCCCGCACCCCGCGTGGAAGTCTCCAGCAGCCTCCACCAGCGGGAGGGAGCAAGGCTCACCGCGCGACCGTGAGCAGGAGGCAGGCCTCTTGCTCTGACGGTGGGAAGCAGACAGGACGAGCTGGGGTAAGAGACGCCACGGCGCCCCAAAAGCCACCAGGCTGTACACAGTGCGTGCAGGGGGGAGCAGGGACAGAAGCAGTGAGCGCCCGCCAGGCAACCTCGAGGGCCCCCAGCAAGGCCTCTTCAGCAGGCCTCAGGGACCCTGACGCACAGAGCGGACCCGGAGCACAACCCACATCTCAGCACGCGGGCAGCTCCGGTGTGGACGAGGGCGGACACGTGCCTGCCCTGACCACAGCCCAGGCCCACCTCGCCGCGAACGGGAGGCAAGGCGCAGGCCGCTGGGCACGGAGCCGTGGCCCTAGTGGCCGACCCACACCCTGAGGACCGTGGGCGCCACACACACCTGCTACAACCCCCGCCCCCGCAGTGGTGAAGGCCGCAGAGGTGGGAAGGACCCAGGCCGACAAGAGCAGCAACAGACCACAGGCAGGAAGTATCACCACAACCACTGGCCGGATTTGGGGAGAAAGCGTTAGGTCAGATCCCACTTCAACCAAACACACAACCCCGGGCGAGAAAGTTGAACAAAGAACCAGCAAGACGCCCCCGCACCACTCGACCCGGGCCTGGTGGCCTCTGCCGTTAAGCCATCATGCTGGAGCACATCAGGCAATTGCAGTGGCCCCCCAACTCACTGGGAAAAGCCAAAGTGTCCATGGTGGCCTCCAGCCACCGCCCCCCGCCACACCGCCCCCGCCACACACACACTCACCTGCTTGCTCTTGGTTCCAGCCACATCAGCCTTACCTTCCCACACAGCCAGCCTGCTCCCCTTCAGAGCCTGTGCTCACACCCCAGCCTGGCTCCTCTTCCTCACCCCCAGAACCCAAGCTGCCCGGCTCTGCCTTGCCTTGCTCTGGGACCTCATGCCTCGACCCTCCTCTCCTCTGGGTGCCCAGCATGTGCCATTTACAGTGGAGCATCTGCTCCCTTACGAACTGCAAGTGCCCCCGGCAAACAGCCTGACCCCCAGAGTCACCGAAGGGTGCAGGCACTTATGGCAGGAAATCAGAACTCAAGAAACATTCGCTTGTCAGAGTGAGGAACGAATCCGACGTAGAAAGAAAAGACGGGCGCCTGGCTGGCTCAGGTGGAAGAGCACGGGACTCTTGATCTTAGAGTTGTGTGTTCGAGCCCCACATTAGGTGCAGGGATAACTGAAAAATAAAATCTTTAGGGGTGCCTGGGTGGCTCAGTCGGTTAAGTGTCCAACTTTGACTCCGGTCATTATCACACGGTTTGCGGGTTCGAGTGCCGTATCGGGCTCTATGCGGACAGCTCAGAGCCTGGAACCTGCTTCGGCTTCACATTCTGTGTCTCCCTCTCTCTCCGTCCCTCCCCCGCTCATGCTCTCTCTCCCTCTCAAAAAAAAAAAAAAAAACAAATAAAAATTATTAAAAATGAAATCTTTTAAAAAAAAGAAAATTTCCCAGAGCCAAAGGACGACACAATGAACTTAACCCGAAAGGCCTGCCGACTCACAGAGCACCAAGGACATAAAACCAGAGAGGTCCACGTTAGGCGCCATATCACAAAGACCCCCAACCACACGCACAAGCCCACCCCTCCCAGGAGCAGAACGACTGAAATGTGCACGGGGGTGGGAAAGAGGGTGGTCAGGGGGCCCCGTGCCCCACCTCGCCCTGGCGCCTCGTCTTCGGGGAAGGGCTGAAGAAGTTGTGCAGGACGGAGAGCTCGGTGCTGAAAAGCGCACTCTCCTTCTCTAGGATGTACTGCTTCAGCAGCGGAGAAACTTCGTCGCCAAACAGTGCCTGGTTGTCCTGCCAGATCTGCCGCTTCACCTCCACAGCACAGGCCCGGTACAGCTCCTTGTCAGCCATCACCAGCTTCAGCTTCTTCTCCGGAACCTACAGGACCATATCGGCCACCTGTGAGCCGCACCTGTGCCCCAGGGACCTCCCTCAAGACGGCTCAGGAGGCCTCAGCTCCCCTAGCAGAAACCACCTCAACCCAGACCCACCAACAGGGGTGCCTGGGACTGGACCCCAGGCCCCAGCAGATGTAAGCAGCCAAGCTGAACACAGACAGTTCTGGCCGAGTCGCCATGGGTCCCACAACCCAATTCACACACCAGGCATCAGTCTCCGTGTGGCTTGTCAGAGAAAAGCCAGCACAGAGAACATGCCCCAGGGCTGCTCGGGGTTTGGGCAGGCAGCTCACGAGATCCCGCCAGAGCTAAGGTGCCAGCTTGACGAAGCACATGCGCGATGTCCCCAAGTAAGGGCTCGTGCAGAGAGCGCCCTGAGCATGTGGGCCCACGGTTTTTACCTTGGGCAAATGTTTCATGACACACATCACCACTGGCTGCAGGGACGGCATCTTCACCAGAGAAAAGCTCTTTTCTAGAAGATCTTCCAGTTTCTTGTACCTGGAAAGGCTCGTGTGACTAAAGGAGCAGCACAGGACCCAGTCTGAAGCAGCTGTCTGTCCCCAGACAGATGACAGATAAGGGTATAGGTTTCCACGGGCGGGGCACTCGAGTAAAGGCCCCCTTTTCGAACGGGGGTGTGTAGCCAAGGGAACGCTAAGTGCTGCTGAGTCCGTTCCAAGGCTGGGAAGGGGCCTGCACATGTCACCTGCCCACCTACCTTTCCTCAGCCTTCCCCTCTGAGGCAATGGCGGACACCCGCTCCAGCAGCTTGTCCCGAAGCTCGTCAAACACCGACTGGTGGAACTCCAGCCGAGGTGTCCCATGCAGGTCCAAGAAAGGCAAGGCCGACTGCAGGGAGGGCAGCAGCACGCCATTCTCTGTCTGAGGAAACAGAGGCGGGGAGGGGAGGGGGGGGTCG